CTTGCACCGCTTGGTGTAGATGGACAGCAGGTCAGGGAGCTCTGATTGAATGATGCGTTCGGCTGAGCGCACCACTCTGCAGATCTCGTCTGTACCTGCTGTATTTATGTCTAGTGGTCACTCACTCAGCGTTATTGTGGTTTTAATTCTTTGACTAAATAGAGTCTAACATTTTGAGACTGTTTTCTATAAAATGACTATAGCAGAAACGATTTTGACTCAGAAGGAATCTCAGCTAGAAGATGAAACGCATGTCAACATGTAGGTATGAATGAGACCTACAGGGTGATGTGACCCTTGAAGTTTCCTGAAAAAGCAGCAGACATGGTCTTAATGAATCATCTATTGCACTATAAGTCAGATTCTGAGTGGTTGTTCCTGTTTCCGTTGGTCCCAAAGCTTGTTGCTGTAGTTCTGCCACAGCCCTCGCACTGAGGGACCCTTCAGCAGGCATGAGGCTGACTCATCAGAGAGTCACTCCCTTCATGGGGCTGGATTCAGATTAAACAAACATTATCAGAGTTTACTTTTGCTTGCATTTTTCACAGACCTTCCATGTAGTCTATTTATCCACCAGCTGTGTCACGTATACACTTCACCAACAGCACTTTTAAATTATGCTTTAAGCCACCTTTCATATTTTAGAAAATCCATCTGTGTTTACTATTGCACTGCTGCTTCTACTACTAGTACTTCAGCGGTTTCAGTTACTGCTGCTGTCAGCTTCTGTTGTCACTTTTACTCATAAATATTTCAGCTGCATGTAGCACTGATCCCCCTACAGCTCTCACTCTGCCGTTACTGCTAAATAAGTGCATAATAAACTCCCACTGCAGATAATGCTGTAACGATGTGCTGTTCTCAGGTCGGTCGCAGTGAGAAAAGGAACCTCGGAGCAGCAGCCATGTTGTCGGGGGAGGAGATTCTGTGTAGCACGCAGCAGGTGATCGCAGGGCTGGAGGCGCTGAGAGGGGAGAACCGCAGCCTGCTGGAGAGCCTGCAGGAGGCGCTGGAGAGCCGGGCGGTGCCAGAGAGCAGCAGCGTTGAGCAGGAGAAGACCAGCATCATCCACCAGTCGCTGGAGAGGATAGAGCTGGGGCTGAGTGAGGCACAGGTACCACCAGGAAATAAAGAAGCAAGCAGTCGCAATGAAATCTTGTGTCACACGTCTTTGTCTTCAAGCTTTTTTTTAAGACGGAAATGGAAGAAAATAACATTCCCAGATAATTTAAAATTGAACTTCTTGTACTTTACATATTAAACAAAGTGATTTTTTTTTAATGAAATAGTTTTGAGTTTACGTTTAGTTTTAATTATTTTAACTGACTGTGTTTTTATTTGAACAAACAAACGTGTTTAGCTTGCCAGGCGCAGTTATTTTGAAAAAGAAAAATTAATTTTGAGACTTGCATTTCTGTCATGAATGGTTGATGACAAACTTAAATGAACTGACACATAAAAATATCTGATGTCTGTCATTTTTTATTATTATTTTTTATTTATTTATTTTGTTGTTGTTGTTCCTGTTGGTGTCCCGAGGCACTGATGACTGTTTTTCCTTTGATTTGTTTTGTCTGAAGTCGGGCTGTTGACAAGTTTTGAGCTCATTTACTGAAGCATAGTCGTTAAGTCACTGATCTCCCTTCATGGTGCACGCAGTCTTCTTTCTGTTGTTTCTGTTTCTGTTGGGTTTACATTTTTTTACATTGTCTTCAGGTGATGATGGCGTTGTCAGCTCACCTCGGTTCTCTGGAGGCAGAGAAACAAAAGCTACGAGCTCAGGTGAGTTTGTCGAAAAGACCTGTATACTTGTGTTGACACTCATCATAGGCTGCTTCATTTGGTCTCCCTTTTTAAATGTTTGTTAAAGCAAACATCTTACTTAGCATTCACCTGTCATGGAGGCAAATTCATATATCCGTCTTTAGATTCAAGATATGAAGCATCATATGTCTCGCCGAAGAAGAAGACGTCCTCTTCACCAAAGAAACAAAATGCAAAGGAGGAAACGATGTCTTAATAAATTGTCTTCCTCTCCCTGCTCATCTCACTCAGGGCTCTAACACATGCGCATAAACATGCTAATCTAGTCCTAATTTAGTCAGCAGATTTGTCTTGTCACACTCCTTTTACTCCCTCCACCACAGTAGGTAGAAAAGCATGCTTCACACCCGGCATTGACAGCTGAGGTAAACAGTGGACTGACAACCTGCCACGGAGGGGGAAAAACTGCAGTCCGGGGTCACTTTGCTATCTGTAGAAAACTCGCTACAGATGAACAGCGGCAAGAGCTTTTGAAGTGACTTGGATGAAAACATAACTGCAAAATATTTAAATGGCACATATTAGTTTTTTGTTTCTTATGTATTGATTATTGTTGATATTTTTCAAATATGTTAAAATAGAAGGTGTACAAAAGCTTTTTTTTTTTGTAATGAAAACTGGTAGAAATATGCTGGCGGGATGTGGCTGAATGTAATGTTTTTGATCTCTCTTGGCTGACTAAAACATGTTTGTCCTACATCGGCCACCGTAGCTTAGATTAGCACTCGAAGCGCTAAGAAAACAGGATTCAATTGGCTGCAATCTGCATTCTCCTGATATCTACTGGTGAAAACTTTACACACTGTAACTTTAAGCATTTAGATATGGCAGTGTCTGCGTTTTTGTTGCATGGCTCCTTCATTCTCTTGCCTGTTTCCTTCCTCTTCTCTTTGTTATGTATCATCCTCGCTCTCATTTCTGCATCCTCCCTCTCAGGTTCGTCGTCTCTGTCAGGAGAACCAGTGGTTGAGGGATGAGCTGGCTGGCGCTCAGCAGCGGCTTCAGGACACGGAGCAGGAGGTGGTCACCCTCGAGGAGCAGAACAGACACCTGCAGTTCATGTCCTCCATACGCAAGTATGACCAGGATGAGCCGCCTCTGGTGAGGACAGAAAACATGCTAACCCACATATGTCTGCAGAAGAGTCTGTTGGTATTTACCAGCCAGCTGAGAGTTTGAGTAACAACAAACAACCTGCCCTTCAAGATGAGTAACAGGGAGAGTCAGCGCTTCGCTGTGTCAGCACAGGAATCTTAACCATGGTGTTTGTGTGTATATTCATCAAATTAATATGCTGAAAGTTTGTCTGCAGCTGGAGGTTTGGAGGACTTTACTAAAGCTGTTGTAATTATATACTGGGCAGAAGGACGTCATGTCCCATCTCAGCAAGTTTAGCAAGTTTTTGCTGATGTGTTGGCAAACTGTTTAAGCTCTAATGTCATAGAGCAACATTAGCATTCATTTGGATTCCAGCTGGTTTGCATCTGATGAATGTACCACCAGTTTTCACTGTCTCTGCTTTAGCTTCACTCAGCTGCCTTCCTGTCATTGCCAATTAGCGTGTAGGACAGTGTGCAGGTTTATCAGAGCTCGCTGACAAAAAGCAGCTACCGAAACAGATGAACCATATAGTCAACTTTTAAGCTTACCGTTAGTACTGCTGTCTTCTAAGTCGTGCTGTGTGTGTTTCTTATTTCAGGATGACAAAGACACTTCCTCCAACAAAGAGTCTCTGGATGACCTCTTTCCTGCTGAGGATGAGGAGCAGTCTTCGAGTGAGGTTCTTCTAGGCTTTGAAATGTGTTTTTATTATCGTTTTGAACACCTCCCTGTCTCCAAAATGACAAAACCCTTTTTTTGATAGATTTTTTTTTTGGATACAGAGGAGGTGTTGAGTAAATGCAAACTGTTTTTAATTTAAATTAGTCAATACATTGAGCACCACTCTCATCGTGATTTAGTTTGAGTGCTTTGAGAAGTGTCAGCGTTGAAACTGGAGGCAGATACTGGTTTACATCTTCACTGGGCATAGATAAGCTCAAGGTGTAACTGTTGCTTCTAATCCTGATATCTGAGTAACTGCTGACACACAACAAACACATTTTATCAGCTTACACATGAATTTAGAGCGCATGAAGGTGGAAGCATGAAAGCGATCTGTGAATCTCTGTAGTTTGAAATACGACGCCAGTCTGAAGTTATCTTTTAGGACAGCGGCTTCCTTTTAGAAAATGGTGAAACATGAGTACGCATCGCTACCTCCTTTGACTTTTGTTTTTTGACAGCGTTAAAGCCTGACAAAAAAAATATAAACTTTAGTGTTTTTAGAGGTTAGACGACTGCAGGTTGAGTGTGAGTGACCAGGGAGAAAAGATGAAATGGGAAAATAAAAAATTTCGCCTGCATTTATTGTTATGCTTAAACTTTTCTATTATGATCAATTTTACTTAATTGCCTAAATAGCAGTGCAATTATGCAGCCAGTTTTCATGTAATACATCTTTATTTGGGCTTAACACCATCCATCCATTCGTCTTACTTTATTTGTGAGACATACAGTATAGAAAACGGGTCAAATTAAATATTAGGTTCCACCCTGCCTTGTTTTTGGTCCTCTCTGTTAGACCTGTTAAAATGATCCAAAATGAGTTTCCGTAGCAGGAACTGGGCCCTTCTAAAGTCAGCATGGTCTTGCTTTTATTTGTTTGTTTGTCGTTTAGTGTCCCAGCCTCACCACAGCAGTGCAGCAGCTGCAGCCCAGCAGGGCGGCTACGAGATCCCCGCCCGCCTTCGAACGCTCCATAACCTGGTCATCCAGTACGCATCCCAGGGACGATATGAGGTCGCGGTACCGCTGTGCAAACAGGTGGGAGGGGCTTCCACTGTCCTAACTGTTGCTAACCAAAACAAATCGCCTGACAACCATTTAACATGACCTCATCGTGTCTCCGCAGGCTTTGGAAGACCTGGAAAAGTCCTCTGGCCACACTCACCCAGACGTAGCCACCATGCTCAATATACTGGCGCTGGTGTACAGGTGATGTCAGTTAGCATTGCAAAAGCGTCTGTATTGGTATTTACAGCTACCGCGGTGGCACTGTCAAAGCTGGGTTAACCATTCGAGGTCTTCCAGGCGACTCAGAGTTCATGCTTTATTTGTTCTGGTCGAGTACGTCATGTGACTCTCCTTCAGTTCAGAAATGTCCTCCCGGCTTTCGTCTCGTCTAACCCATCAGTGCCGTTTGTCTAGCTGGTGCACGTCTTTTCCTTCAGCTCTGCCGGCACAATGATGCACTTTAAATGTTAAATGTCTTCAAATGTTAAAGACGTAATGATGCTGCAGAAAAAGTGATTTATTATTCAGTTTTAGATGGGGGGGAAAAATGGTTTGTTGTGCTTGTATCAGTTGAGGTAGGCGTATAAATGCTTTTCCTGCCCGGTTTGAGCCGAGCGTCCCGTGTAAGCAGTTGGTGTGCAGTAATTGAGCGGATCGGATTCTCTGTCATCAGCATTATATTGCTCTGACTGGTTGTGGCTTTGACTATGGCTTGTGATACCTGGCAAATTTGAGGTTTAATAAAAGTGTCTTGTAATAGATGATAGATTATCTGAAACTCTTAGGGAGGAAGTGTCCTTAACAAGCCAAACGCTTCTCACTGGGTGAACAGTGTGGTTTGTGTTGTTTCCCTACAGAGATCAGAACAAATACAAAGAGGCCGCCAACCTGCTGAACGATGCTTTGGCCATCAGGGAGAAAACTCTTGGGATGGACCATCCGGCTGTAAGTTACTCGGCTGCACTGGAAGAAAACTTATAATGAGGCGGCTAAAACTGGTTTCAGCGTTCTCTTTCATCAGCGTAAACGTGAAACATAAAACCTTGTGGGTTACAAGAATTTTGATCCTCATTTGTTGTTCGTTGCTTCCGACATGCCTGACCTGCAAATATTGGCTCCCTTTGTAGTCATTTCATGTGGTTTAGACTTTAGCGAGTGAGCTGGTGTGTATTTGTGTGTGTGCGTGTGTGTGTGTGCATGTGTGTATGCAGGTGGCAGCGACGCTCAACAACCTGGCAGTGCTTTATGGGAAAAGAGGAAAATACAAGGAAGCAGAGCCGCTTTGTAAAAGAGCTCTAGAGATCAGAGAGAAAGTAAGAAAACACCTTTGTATTACAACAGATATCCCAAATTCCTACTAATAACTCACTTTAACCTTAATCTAACCTAGATTATGGATGCCCGATTTATAACAGACTAAATGTTTTGCTAATTTACTTCCATCCATCCATTCTCTGCTGCTTATCCTTTTCAGGGTCATGAGGGGGTCTTAGGGTAAGAGGCAGGGTACACCCTGGACAGGTCACCAGTCTGTTGCAGGGCTAACACATAGACAACCATTCACACTCAATTTAAAGTTTCCAATTAACCTATCTGCATGTCTTTGGACTGTGGGAGGAAGCCGGAGTACCCGGAGAGAACCCACGCACAGGGAGAACATGCAAAGACCCCAGCCTGATGGTGGGATTGAACTCCAGAGGCAACAGTGCTAACCACTGTGCCACCGTGCTGCCCTTGCTAATTTACTTAAACATCTAAATATGTCCTCTATCCTTCGATGTCACAGAGCTGAGTGAGCAGGCATCCCCTGTATCACATACTGGAAGTGTTATGGAAAGAGTAACTGGTTGATCGTCCCTCACCGTGCACCTTTTTTTTTGTCGCCTCCTCAGGTTCTCGGTACAGATCATCCAGATGTGGCCAAACAGCTGAACAACCTGGCTCTGCTGTGTCAGAACCAGGGGAAGTACCAGGAAGTGGAGCAGTACTACGAGCGCGCTCTGCACATCTACCAGAGCAAGCTGGGACCAGACGACGCCAACGTGGCTAAAACCAAGAACAACCTGGTGAGAGGAAACCTCGTTGTCTGGATTACTGAGGCTGTTGTTATTTTACGATATTATTATTTTTTCAATCATCATTTAAACCCCCCCTCTCCCTCAGGCATCATGTTATCTTAAGCAGGGGAAATACAGACAAGCTGAAGCTCTTTACAAAGACATCCTGACCAGAGCGCATGAAAAGGAGTTCGGGTCTGTTGAAGGTACAAACAGATTACTTCATGTAACTGCTCATGTTTGTGTAATTGTTCTCGTGACACGATGACATTTTAAGAGCGTGAGATAACCACAAGGGATCAGTTCGACCACCGAGTACTGAGAAAACTACCTAACGCTGGCATAACACATTCATTTTTATCATTTTAACATGAGCTGTGATTCATTCTGCTCAGTTTTAGCTTTCTGTGTTGTCTTTGTGTATTCATGTTGAATTTGGCTAATGTACCTTTTTTAATGTTTGCATGATTCGCATTCAAATATAGGGGCCGCACCCTATATTTACCCTATAAGCCCTGGAGTTTGTCCTTAGGGGCTTCTCTGACAGCAGATACATGACACATAATAGCTTCTTTGCCTCATATACTATTTCATCATATAAGTCTCAGTCAGACTCTGTGGAAATCTGTCATTTTTGTAGTTTTACTTCAGCAGTTTTCATATTTTTAAATGTAGGCCTGTCTCAGTCTTTCTGCAAAAACTGTTTTATTTAGATTTTGTTTTGTATACTGTACAGTTTTATATTGTTCTTATCGTATTGATGTCCAACTGAAAGAAACTTCAAATTTCAATATAAACAATTGCTTGTTTTATGTCTGTTGTCCAGGTGACGGGCGTCCCAGCTGGTCCGGCGTGGTGGAGGACGGTGGGTCCACACAGGACGGACTTAAGCGCAGTGGCTCCTTCACCAAACTCAGAGAGTCGATCAGGCGAAGCAGCGAGAAACTGGTCCGAAAGCTGAAAGGAGTCGGAATGGAGGAAACAACCCCAAGGAATGCTGGGTAATATTCTGTAAACAAGGTGTTTTAGCTCCAGCTGAATGCTGAAAAGCCACCTGATGAACAGTTTGTTCTGCCCCGTTTTCAGGATGAAGAGGGCAAACTCGCTGAATGTTTTGAACGTTGGCGTCAGAGAAAGTCAGGATGGCAGCGAGGTGAGCAGACTGTTAACCATACAGTCTGAAAACCAGAAATCTGCAAGCACCTCATGCACATTTAAGATAAACGTCACCTCTTAACACACATTTTGTGTTTTTGTTGATCAGTCGAGTCAGCTGACGGATACTCGAGGCTTGAGCTCCAGCACTCAGAGTCTGATGAGAAGAGGCTCACTCGGTGGGAACAGCTAACGCAAAAATAAGAATATCCCCTAAAAACGCAACACCTTTCAAAGATGACGATCGGCACAGAGCAGTGTGTTTAATCAGTGTGGGAACATCAGGCCTGAGTGGATTCATCATTTTTAGTCTTCAAGGAAAAAAGATAATTGACTCGACTAAGATGCTTCCAAAAATCTGACTTTTAAAATTAGTTTGTTTCATTCTAAAAACGCACAATTTCAGTTTTTTCTTTAAAAAACAAACAAAAAAAACCAAAAAAACAACAAAGCATAAATAGAGGGCTGGGTCATGTGATGAATTTTAACTTGACGTTATCGGAATTGCACTATGACATTTTCTTCCGGATCACTTGAAGTTTTAAATCCCGTCATTCCTGGTTTTAGGTTCAGTTCTATGATTTCCAGTTAACTTTTGATCTTGTACTCGTAGGACCTGGCGTCCACATATGTGGACATCACATTTTGGGTTGTCTAGACCATAATACAAAATTTTTCCCAATCAGCTCAAATAGCAAACAAATTAAAAATGCATGCCATGAAAGAGTTCGCGTCTTAGCAGGTTAATTTTAAGTTGTGCTAAAATCACTTTAATCTAGTTCAAATGCATTTCCCCTGCAGACTGTGTTTTTACACAAACGTGACCACGTTACACTAAGGAAAGCGGCAATCTGTAGGTAAAACATTTGAACTATGGGAAATTTTAAGACACTTCACTTGATGCTTTGATACTAAAGATCATATTTTTTAAATGGAGTTGTTTGTAATTTGAGAAGCAGTGCAGGGATGTAAAGTTCTTTACACAATTTTTAAAATGTAAAGTGTAATTTTACGTTCGAGGAAGATGATAAGCTATCAAAGTTTACACAGTTTAAAGTAAAAAAGAAAAAAAATGGTACGTGTATTTTGCCTTTAAAATGTGCTGGTCATGTATAATTTATATTGTTAGACTGCTGCGTTATTGGACCAGAAGTCCTGCTCGGACACGATGAAAATAAGGAACAACTTTAAAAAAACAAGTCGGAGCAGTTTCAGGATTCCAGCTGTTGGTTTGCACCTTGTGAAAACAAATTGTCTTTACAAAAGCAAATATTTGACTTTTTAGCTTAGTACTTTTTACAGTCAGTACTTTTGCACATATGTACATAGGTAATATCTTCTAACTGCTTATGGATGTAAATCATTCTCTAAGGCTACGTTCACACTGCAGGCGAACGCGCATCAAATCAGATTTTTTTGACCCTCTGCGACTCATATCTGATCATGGTGTGACAGTGTGAACGGCACAAATCCGATATTTTCAAATCCGATCTGGGTCACTTTCGTATGTGGTACTGAATCCGATACATCTACATTATTATGTAAATAACAAAATAACTTAAAGCAAAAATTGGGAAACGTCAAGTCTGAAGTCTTTATATTAAGGGCCATCAGTCAAACGATATAGTTTGCTCTGGGTCTAAACAGAGCGCGTTGTGTGTGACGTCTTCTTTTGCGCATGCGGGCCGCTTTGAGCGTTCACACTAGAGCGCGTTTGCTGTCGCATTTTATTTGTAGTGTGAACAAGCAGACAAAAAAAATCTGATTTGATCAAAAAAAATCGGAATTGAGCATTAAGACCTGCAGCGTGAACGTAGCCTATGTTCAGTATTTATTGATTATCCGTTTGTTGCATTTTGAATTTCAGATGTGTAAAAGTCTCCCTAGGTTTGTTGCTGTGTGCCCAAATGTCAGCTTTGGCCTGATAATTTTAAACTGGTTTTGAGGTTGAGATGAAAGTCTTTACCGAAAGCCGCCGTGTAGATTTATACAATGTTTCCAAGGCAAAGCACAAGAACAAGTAGTAAAAATAGCAGCGGCGGTACAGCTTTGTAGCCAAGTTGAAAATGTTTCTGGCAAACATCACTGATGTCTAACCAGGAAAGTAATCAAATCATGAGACAGCCAACGAGCAATGAGAGAGCAAAGGAGGGGACGGGTGGATCGCTCAGCAGCCGAGTGATACATAAATATGATGGTGCATTCGAGGCTTTCACTCTACGCTGGTAGAAGTAGCATTATCAACTACTGAGGTAGCCTACGTTTAGATATTGAGGTATTCGTCTAATGTTACATCTATGCTTTTCACTGAAATGCCTGAAATCTACTACTACAAAAATTCTACTTTCTGATATTTATTAGAGATATTTTTTAAACTAGTTGAACTGAAGATTTGTTACAAAGAGCGTTGAATAACAAGTTTTACACAAACACCTGAGAATTCTGATAATAGACTGGGTCCCTGAAAGCAGCATTACCACCTGATCCATGAAGATTTTCATTCCATGAGACTCCTGGTAGGAATCTTGTTTTGCATTTGCAGTGGTAGAAGACAGCCACTGCAGTCTGTTTAAAGGGCTGAAGTCGCACCGTGTTAGCTGCTGTTAAACGACAGTCTGTTACAAGCTGAGTGAAGCACATGTAAGAATGTGGAAAAGATGAATATTTGTTTTATATTTGCAAATTTGAGCTGCAATAAATTAAACTAAGACACCGATAACCCTTGTATATGTGTGTTTTCTTTCCTCTGTGTTTGTCTGAAAAGGTTTTCAGGGTTTCATAAATTAAAGCCCTTTTTGTCTAAATATTAAGATCAGCGAGTGATGGATGGACACTTTCGATTCAAACACTTCCCACAGAAGAAAAACACAAGTCAGCTGTTAAATACAAACATTTATATTCCAGCTTCCTGGTTGGAAAACAGTATAAAACAGCATTTATGTACAGCTGCAGTAGAAAAGGAACCTGACAGTATTCTTGTCTGTATGACAGACGCTGCACAGACACCAGTGTTAGTGTCACATCTCTGATGCAACACGCTGACCTACTGACACATTTCACCAATCAAAAGAAATTTAAAAAAACTAAATGAATTGAAACTTCTGCATCACGGTAATGCTGAAGACTGAAACACGCACATTTAGAACTTAGTCAGTGTTGCTGGATTTTCTGTAGCATGTGCGTCTGCAGAAGCAAAGGCTTCTTCCTTTGATTAATAAAGGGGAAAATAAGTTTCATGGCAGCAGTTTACTGCTCCGTACTTCAGTGAAAAGCTGAACAGAGTACTGAAATATGTACTTAAGTGGTTCAAAGGTCTGCAGATGGTCTACTCTGCAGACCGAGTGCAACCTTAAATACTGACTGACCCATGAGCGGCTTTGACTGAGGCTCACATCGTTGGTGTGGGAGCGGCTCTCCTGTCAGAAGTCATTACTGTCACCAGCAGAGCTGAAAATACTTTAAATACTTTTACAGTATTTTTACCACTTGGGGGAAAACAGACACTTAAAACATAATTCTGAGTTTTTCCTTCCTAAAGTTAAGGTGGACCTGCCCTTTTAGAGCCGACCCATATTTAACCCTAGTCTGGTGACAGCTGATGACTCGGTTTATGGTGCTGCTGTGGTGACAATGTCATACGGTTCGTGTCACCTTCAGGTCTGATGAGCAATCTGAGTGATTTTCTGCAGCATTTCCTCCGACTCCAGCTGCTCGAGAGTCAGCAGAGACAAACCCAACTGGTCCTCCTGGAGAGAAAGAGAGAAGCAAGCATGGCTGCCTGGTCAGCTGTTGTCCGGAAACGTCAGCGCTCATAAGAGCTGTGCAGCTCCGTGCAATTCAAACTGCTTTACAGCAGCATTTATTCATCTGATCAACAAAATCAGGTGGCTCATGATCTCGATGGCAGTGGGTTGGTTGTTCTGGTGCCAGAGTTGTGCCAGTAAACAATCACACCAACAACTCGTCAGACACTTTAAGATTAATTTGCTAGATTATAAAACTTTTCCCCATTTAAGGTATTAAATTATAACATTAAGTTTCATTTAGCTTCAGAAATGAAGCAGACTCTTAGACAAGAGGACAGATGTTTGAGCCAATCACGGGGAGAAGATCCCTAAACCCACTGCTTTGCTCCTTTTAAAGCCAGTGTGTTGTCCTGTGTTTGTTTACTCGTTGCAGTGGTGCTTGTGATGCTTGGCGGATTGTACCTGTCTGAAAGGCTGAGCCATCTGCCGCAGGAAGTGCTTGGAAAGCTGCACGGCCTCGTCCACGGTGAGGTTCAGACTGCCGTCGTTGATGTGCTCCTGAATCCAGCGGGGTAGCTTCCCACGTTTGTCTGCTCGTGCGTAACGCTGCAGAGCACAGAGGAGGTTAGTACAGGCTTCGCTCAGCTACTCCAGCGTCAAACTCGAAGGACTGAGTGTAGAAGCCTGGAGTACTGCGGCAGGATCAGACAAATATTCAGACACACCTTGTCAGCAAAAATCATGAGTCCATAGTCAGTTTTGCCTCGGATGGCTCTGCCTACGCACTGAGCCGCGTGGCGCATGGCGTCAAACGTCAGAAAGTCGTTCTCCCTGATCTGAAACTGATCCCGAAGGTACTCCAGCCGAGCCTGAGTCGAGTTACAGAGAGAGAAAAACCCTTAGGGAATCACGACAAAACTATCCAGACTGAGAAAAGGGAAAGAACACAAACTAAAATGTGTGGTTTTGTTCCTCGTTTGATAATGTAAATCCTTAAATAGCAAACATCACACAAAATATGAATAGATTTAACTTTCTGAGCTTTGACCCCACACAGAGGTGACTCTGACCTTTAGGATGCGGCTCTGCGTATAAACATACGGCACTCCAAACATGATGACAGCACGGCCATAATGGTGCACTGAACAGAAAACACAACGAGACTCCGAGTCAGCGACAAAGCGCATGTTTGCTTCACCTTATCGTCTCCAGCCACGCAGGACTCTTCTTCTGCTGTTTGCTTTAATTTGTCCTGCTGGAGCCGCACAGAGCAACTCGATGACTTACCGAAATCGATCCCTTCAGACACTTTTCCTCTGGCCACAGACAGGAGGATGGCTCCTCGGCCGTTCTCACACGCCTAAACAGCAGAGACAGAAAGGTCAAAGGTCAAAGTCTGGGCCCAACACAAAAGACCTGAACATCTGTTTGTTTGTTCACGGCTCAATTTATGATTTTGGTCTCTTTGTTAGTTAAATACTACTACAATAATGGGTCTGACCTCTTGGTATTTCTCCAGGGCCATGCTCGTCTCTGCAGCATCCTGAGTCTCGATGAAGATCAGCTTGTTTCTCTGGATATTCTCCAGGATACCCTGCAAGCGAACGTGACCCCAGACACAACAAAAACACACAAAATTAATTTATTATTAA